GTGCGCGTGCATTTTAGTTTGAAATTAAGCTTGCGTAGAACGAACGTTAAATTAGTTTGTACACGTCAACATTTACAAAGTTGTAATAACCTGAAGACGGACAGTAAAACCACAGAATACTACACAGAAGTCCATCTCCATTGTTTTTTGCGTAAGCGTTATTCGTCATGATTCGTCACTCAGCAAGTACCGTAAACAGAAGCAGTCACCCCCCTGGGCGTTCGCCACTTTTAGTATTTCCAGGGGGGAGACTGCTTCTGTTTACGGTACTTGCTGAGTGACGAATCATGACGAATAGAGCTTACGCTAAAAACAATGGAGATGGCCTTCTGTGTAGTATTCTGTGGTAAACTGTCCGAAACGTTGTTAAAAATAAAGTAAACCTCTTGAAAAATCCTGTTTGAAAGTGAATTATATTCTATAATTAATGATGACCAGAGGTGAAAGTTTTAGAAAAATAAATAATTATAATAATTAGTTCATATTTATTGTTAGGTTAAGCTACGGCTGGTTAATTTTGCAGGTTGCAGGTTGCAGGTTCGCAATTCCCTACATCCAGACGATGAATGAGATCAGTGACTGATCTCCTCTTCCGGTTTTCATCACAAACAATAACTTTATTCAAACAAAAATACCAATACTGGTATATACTGTATGGAATAGCAGACTCGTCCCCAGTCGCTTTAAGAGCGGGCGCGCGGCCAGAAGTGGGCGCGTGGAGGCTCACGGGAAGGGCGAAAGAAGAAAATAGAATAGAGCAAATGTCTATTATAAGCTATACTAGAAAATACATGCATGCAGAAACCCTCGCCTTCCTGACAAAACTATTATGTTTTCCAAACATGAAGTATTGTCATGGTAACACGATAATTTTAAGAATAGTTTTAAAATTGAAAAATCCCCCCAAATTATCAATTTCCCAAACATATATATGCTAGGTAAGTTATTATACGTAATACAAGCTTCAATTTAATGTAAAAATCAACCACAAGTGCTTCGCAAAACGTTTCAAAATGTTCTTAAAACTAAACTGCCTTTTATCGGTAAACGTTGAGTTTCAAAATCAAAATAAATTGATTTCAAATTTGTACATGAAAATAACTCGCCATCATGCCACAGAGATCATGCTGAAAACCGGAAGTGGAGAAAAGTCACTGATCTCATTTATCATCTGGATGTTGGGAATTGCGAACCTGCAACCTGCAAAATTAACCAGCCGCTTTCTCGATACAATTATTTTTTTTCAAATCAAGGAATTTTAGTGTTTTTTTGTCACTGGTTGATTTGCACATTTCAGGATGTGTCATCTTTTTTATTCAATCACAGCACTATCAATTAAGTGTCGCAAACTAAAAGCATGCTGTGTTTTTGTATATAGATCAGATCTATACTAAAAATAAATCTGGAAGGTACATGGTCATCATGACTGGTGCATTATTAAATTTACTGGTCAAGATGGATGTTTTGCTGGTCATATTTTTATTTTCTTATTTGCACCTATTTTAAGTGAACTTGTGCAGGTATGATTATGTTGTGCAGACAATCTGAAATATCCTGAATTCTGAATAAAATGCCCATTTTATTGGAGAGGATTACGAGAAGAGATTAATTACAAACAGACGAAACAAAGAAACAAAAAAACTCTCCGGACATGTGTGTCCGGTAAGAGACAGTATTTGCCAGTCAAAATGAAAACAATGACCGGTGACTGGCACTTATTTCGAGGCCTGGATACTATAAATTGCATCAAATGATAGGCAAATCTCTTTCATCTGTGCTTCAAATCTCTGAAACATTTCGTTGTGACGTTATTGAGTCAATAACGCAAACAGATAACATTTTTCTGTTTCCATTCTTCAGTAATAGATCACACTGACAGAGCATGTCATAACGTGGTAAGAACACCAGCGACCCACTCATATCCTGGTGTCATGCATGTGGACCATTCTTTTTCTCTTACCATGTTATGACATCTTTTGTGTATCTAATGGGGTGTTTATATTGAGGCAAGCCAGCCTGGATACCTGAGCTAGCTCAGTCTGCTTAGACAAGCCAGCCCGGGGAGTTGTCCTGAGAGAGTGAGATCTCAGTTCAGTCAAGGCACCTGACGTCAGCTCAGTTCACCTGACCTGACCTCAGCTGAGAACTGAGCTGACCTCAGCTCAGTTCCCATATAAATGCAAAATGAAAATTAGTAATAAATAATAAAGGCAGGATCTTGCCCTAAAACCGGACTAGCTCAGGTACCTGGGCTGGCTTGCTCCATGTAAACAACCCCTAAAACTGAACAGACAATGACAAAATGTTATCTCGATCTTTTGTTAAAAATAATAAACAGCAAACATTAAGAATATATTGAATACAAAATAAATGCACTAATATATAGTACACTTACGTTCCCACTCTTCTTTCGGTAGCTATATCTTTTAAACTGAAATAAACCACAGCTAGAGAAAACTATCACATTCAAAAAGATAAAAATAACAGTGTAAATTCTTGATATTTTTCCCATCCACATTAAAATTTTTCTATTTCTAATTTTCTATGATCGCAGCAAAAATTTCGATATCCATAAATTACCAATGCTATCCTAAATTATCCTAAAATATCACACTTTATCCCACAGTGACGAAAGATAACTCGAAGATTACCTACCTCAATGATGTCATTAGGGTGAAGGTTAGTATTAGGGTTAGGGTAGGGTTAGGTTAGGGTTAGGTTAGGGTTAGGGTTTAGTTTTGCGTTAGGATAGTTTTTCTACGTTATAAAAACGGAAACCTTATTTTGAAGCATACTATCTAGCGATCACCCAATAATAAGCCCTTCGAGTTAAGCTCCGACCACGTCCAACCACACCCATTTTTGTCAAGGGCTTAACTCGAAGAAACACAACTTGGGAAGTTCGAGTTAAGCCCCGTGAAAAAAAGAAGAAGCGTATCGTCAGGGGCCGACCATTTAACTTTTTTTTTGGGGGGGGGGAGCGGTGATTTACCACTGGAAGGGAATTTTTTTTCTGGGATCGTTATGTGCAAGTTTTTTTCCTATCCCATCACCATGTACGATATTTTTTGCCACTTTCTCTTTCGCAGCATGTTTTTTTCAATAGCTTATACCGATTTAGATTCTTTAATAATAGTTAACGTTGAGTTTTCTAAGTCTTCTAACTTCATGCATTGCTTTTAATAATACATATTGCTATGAGGTATAACATTTGGTTCAGGGCCCCTTTTAAGGATGTGTAACTGGAGGGGACATATTTAGCGGGGGACCTGGAGAAGTTCCAGTTGGCAAGTCTGTATCACTGCAGCTACCAGCATATATATGCATGGTTTAACTAATATGTATACGTCATAGGGAACTAGCTAGGATTCTGAGACAATCGAGTCGACAACCGAAGGTGCGAGCCTCTAGAGGGGTCTAGGGGCATGCCCCCAGAAAATTTTGGATTTCTTGAAGCTCAGATAAGCTATTTCCAGCATTTTGAGGAGTTCTCCAACAAGAAATTAAGCTTAGGCCACTCCAATTAGACTTTAGTTTCCCGTCCTCCGCCCGCGTTTCCTATAACTGGCCGCATGATTTGTCCATTATCGCTAACTTGTTTCCATTATTTGACTTTTGTGACAAACAATTACGAAAAACCACAGTTTTCAAATAATCTATCGTTCAAGAAATACATATTTATAATAAAACACTTAAAAATCGAAATAGAATTCTTGAAACTTTTATCAAAGAGCGTGAATTTTTTCCGTTTTCACTACGAACTGCTGAGCTACACACATCCATTACAAGTTTTGATTTTTGAACGTCAAAACAGATAAGGCTAATATCCTGGCTTTCATTTCTGCATACAAAAAACTAAAACATTGCGTAGAAACGTGGCTGAATGGATATTTAAAACGTATCTATTTCATGAAATAATGGGCCCTGTTTCATCTTTGAGACACCATAATGGATAATGGAAATGGACCGCCCGCCCGCATGTAATTTGAAATAAGGGCCGGACGGGAAACTAAAGTCTAATTTGGAGTGGCCTTACACTAGTCCCTGAAAATCAAACCAGCTGATCTTCTGGGACTGGTCAAATCGATCCCTGCAACCATGCTGTTTTGAAACATTTTTTTCCCCACCAAATACTGGGGCAAGATATTTTTCCCACAGTTTGTTAGTGCAGGTATTTTTTTTGTTCAGAATAGCCTTGCAGGAAAATTTTTCAAAATGACCCCCCCCCTCAAAAGTTAAATGGTCGGCCCCTTATCAATCTTTATCAATCTCTCTCTCCTCCACAGAGGCTTACATGAAGTTTCTAGTGAGGGAAAAGTGAGCGCGCAAGGAGAGATGGAAAGAGCATTTCAATCTTCCCATTACACCGCGCGCGCTCACTTTTATTCAGGAAACTTCATGTAAGTTGTTTGTACATATTTTAAGGAGTTTTCTCATTTTATAAGGTAGATGACTAATCATGGCTTCTGTATTCCCTCGCGGTATTCCCCGTTCGTGGAAGACCAACAAGTGAGGGTATATCAAAACGAATCAACGAATATCGTTGACAAGTTCAACGTACGTCCTTTGGACAGAAAGGAAAGAAAGCCTGGGAATACGGGGGCTTTCGCATAGCGAGTTCTCCCGCGAAATCCTGCTCCATCAAACTAAAGCCAGTTTTCCACTTCGTATCGTAGCATTATTTTCTTTTGTGTCGAAGTCCTTTAATAATTCCATTCTAGTGTTCAGGGAACAAAGACATACGCTACGTTTCGTGACTTAAGCATGATGGAGGAACTGCGTGAACGTAGCGGACGATGGGGGCAGGAATCAGGACTTTATCAAAACTCCAGCGGGTAAATCACCGTAAATGTAGCCCTATTCACATTAGAGACGGACAAGTCGTCTAGACGAACAAGTCGTCTAGACGAACAAATCGTCTCTCAAAAATCGTCTTCACAGACGGACAAGTAGTCGAACAAATTCAGACGACTTGTTCGCAGTGGCGTAGTTAGCGGTCCCGCTGTCCCGCCGGGCGGGACTAACAATTTCCAAAAAAATGTGTAAATGTTTTATAGTGAAGCCAAAACCACTGCTAATTTGCTTATTCTGAAAATTTAAATATAATTATGGTAATTTTTCAGCGCTTTCATTTGTCATTTATTTAAAGTTTACGCAATATTGCTGTCTGCTCTTTGACCTCTTTGTTGTCTAGTAACTGATACCCTGTAGAATTAGGTAATTTCCACGCAATTTATTGCTTACTCACGCTATTCGTGAATCGCATGTCTCGTGTTCCGCTGATTTTCATGTTGCGGGATACGCAATACTATCTTATACAAGAAATTCTGGTTTCTGGTTGGATAATTGGCGCAGCGCATGCCCAGAACGGTTGTTTTTAATGCCGAAGTCCCGCTATTTTATAGCCTGCGAACAGGCTCACTGGGAGAAAGGTGAGCCTGCACGGAACCATGCGTTTTATTCATTCATCCCCTTTTCGCATCTGCTAAACGCTAACCAATCAGCGTCGACTGCGATAAATAAACTGTCAACTGTCAAATTGACGCAAGGCGTGTACATTGTGCAACATGAACAATAATAATACAAAGCATTAGCGGGCCGCACAATATATTACTCGGAAAAATATAGAATTCTTCAAATATTAAATAGATATCAATACACATACAAATATAAAGCCGAATAAACTACCATTGGCTTTGAATGTACAGTAATACTTGTACTATGTGCGACTGAAAGAACAATGTTCTGAATATTTTGAAGCTATTACTAAAATACGGTCAGATAGATTGGGATTTGGAATACCGAATACGTTTAAAATTTTACTAACTGTGGTCTAAATAAATGATAAATGAGCATGTATTTATTAATTTCTTCGAAATCACGAGTGTGCCAATAGTGGAAGCCGTATCGACGACGAAATTGTCAGCAGTTAATACACAGTAAACAGTACAACGTTTAATGTACGATATATATTTATCTAAATGACATGCCAGCGAGGATCGACAATATATAAATTATTCGTACATATTTGGGTATCTTTTGTATGCCTTCGCTTGCTGACTTGCTCACTAATGAGAATAATCCGTGAAGCCACGACGACCTCAAATGCAGCCTAGACCTTCAGGCCTTCTATTTTTATTTATATTTTTTTAATATTCAGCGCTTTTTCACATGAAAAGACTGGGACTAGGTAATTTGGGGGCGGGGCGGAGGAAGGACACAAGCCTGACGCAAGCGATTCCTCCGCCCCGCCCCCAAATCACCTAGTCCCAGTCTTTTCATGTGAAAAACCGCTGAATACTAAAAAATATAAATAAGACTAGAAGGCCTAGGTCTAGGCTGCTCAAAATGTACTATACTATGGTCTGATGTCAATCCGAAGACGAAGTTCAGAATACTGTTATAGTTTCGTATATTGGATTTAAGCGATAGATTCAAGTCATTTATGATAGACTTTTTTGCTGTGATGCTTTGCTATTGCTTTTGGTTTCCATTTCTAGTTTTATTTGTTCGATAGTCCCATAATATATAATATTAAAATGAATAAAGTTCAAATTCTTCAAAATGCTGTTGTTGACATTTGCTATTTTTAGTAATTTTGTCAACGAGTGTAAGCCAATCAGAAGCCTGCGTTTCTATACGAACGCCACTACCAAGAAAACCTATCATCCGTGCAGGCCCTCTATTCTTCGCGCCGCCCGCAACCCAGGGCCTGTTCGCAGGCTAGCTATTTTATGAAGGCGGAGGTTGTTAGTATTAAAACCTTTCTGACGAAGCTTTCTGCGCGAGTATTCACGACTGTGACGGTGGTAGGTCATCATATTACTATTCATATCATATTTGATGTTGCTTTTGTGATTTGTATACAATGGCTTCAACGAGCGTGACGAGCCTTATGGAAAGCCACAGCGGAATTTAATTCCATTGGTTGCTTTTAGCATTATATATGTGGTGCTTTTATCGTTATACGAGGTGCTCTTTACATTATACGCGGTGCTACACTTCGAGTTCGAGCATTATACGCGACGATTTTGACATATATCAAGATATATGGGCTACACGCAACATTGTACGAGGTGCTTTTAACATTATACGTGGTGCTTGAGACATTTATTTTTAATAATATACGCGGTGTTTGAGACATACGAGGTGCTTTTAGCATTATACGCGGTGCTTGAGACATTATACGCGGTCAGTATAACGTTATACGCAGTACTCAGTGCAGAAGGCAATATTTTTGCCTAGCACAGCACTTCTCTGAGCTCACACAGATCTTCTCTGGGCCAGATGGCATTTTTTGTATTTTACGAAGCGAAAATAGTCCTGTTAGAGGTGTATGGAAACTTTGTTTAGTGGCATCCTTCCACCCTCGAAATCGCAGGAAATGCCATTTCCGCGGTTCTAGATTTCAAATTTTCTCGGGGGGGCATGCCCCCGAACCCCTCTAGGAAGGTCGCACCTTCGGTGCGAGGGGTCCGCCTTCGGCGGGACGATTATTTTCAGCCAGCTACGCCACTGCTTGTTCGTCTGAAATTTTGGCCGAC